GAGCCCCCCCTCCCCCTCCCTGAACGTTTTATTCCCTGAATTGTTCCCGGAGCCGCTTCCATCATGGAATTACATCTTTTCCCTGTGTGCGCAGGGTTATTAATAGCTGCTCTCCTTTCGCGGCTGCCGGGGGCTCCGCGGGACAAAAACCCCCCCGGGGGGGCACTGCCATCCCCGGGGCCGCAGATCCGCAGGACAGAGCCTGGAATGGCACGGACGGACCCACGGCACGGACAGACCCACGGCACGGACAGACCCCCGGGGGGGTTCACTGTCACCTCCAGGGCCCGCAGATCCCCAGGACAGAGCCTGGACAGACCCACGGCACGGACAGAACCCTGCAGACCCCTCGGGGGTCGCTGCCAGCCTGGTGCCCAAGGACAGAGCCTGGACAGACCCACGGCACGGACAGACCCACGCACGGACACGTTCTCAGCTCTGGGTGACCCCGGTGGCACAAGATTCCTGCCAGGGCCCCGTCCCACCCCAGCAGAGGGGCCGGGAATGGGGAGCAGAGCCCCAGGGATGGACCCCAACCCTCCAAGGCCTCTGGAGCAGCCCCGGGGGTGGGCTCAGAGGGGATCCGGCCCCAAAGCCGAGCTGGGAGGTGTCAGCACGGAGAAATCCTGGTCCTGAGCCACCACGGGGGAAAGGAACCGCTGGAAAATCCAGCTCGGGGTTGTGGGTGCCAGCAGGAGACCCAAAGGGGGCAAAGCCTCAGACTGGGAGCAGCCACGGCATTCCCAGTGCCTGGGGAGCCGGGGGGGGAGCCAGCCCCTGAGCAGACCCCTGGCACTGGGGGCACCACCCAGGGGTGCCGAGATTCCAGGAGATTCCCCCGGCAGCTAAAACCGCTCCACGAGGCCGGGGATATTTTGGGAGGCCAATGCCAGGGGGCACCGAGGCTTCGCGGCCGCTCCCGTTGGAATTTCCAGCGGGGAATGGCCCTCGGTGCGGTCTGGGAAGGCAGAGAGCCCCCGGAATGTCACCTTGGGGTGGGAGCGCAGCGGGATCCGCAGGACGGGCTCCAAAAAACATCCAGCGGCTGCCGCCGCTGCCGAGGACGGGCTTTGAAGTGCAAATGAAGGATTTCCGCCAGGTCGGGAGTTAATTTGGAAACAAAACCGCCCCGGAGTGTCCTGGTGGGACACTGGAGGTCCCTGGGCCTTGGGGACAAAGCTGGGGCCACCCCAGAGCTGCGGCAGGGCCGGGAGGAGAGAGGGAGGCAGGATGGTCCGAGCTGCTGGAATTGTCTCACCGGAGCCTTTCCCGGGATTTGGGGGATTTGGGGTCCCCAGAGCCCCCAGGGACAGCGCTGGCTCATCCCGTGGGATTCCCAAGGCTGGGTTTTCCACGGAGCCCCTTCGGGGGGAAAGGGGAGCACCGGGACCCCCCCTCTGTGCCCCCTTTTTCCCCCTTCCCAACATTTCCCAGGAAGTTTGGGGCCGAGGGCAGCCCCAGGGGAGCTCCCACGGCTGGCAGGGATCCCTTGGACACCCTCAGGAATGTTTGGGATGGGCAAAGGGAGCCCCCCGGGCCAGGGGGGGATTGCAGCCCCCCGGACCTTTGGGGTGCAGGGGCTGAAGGGACGGGAACGGCTCCGGAGCTGCTGGTCCTGGGAACAACCTGGGAATAATCCTGGGAATAACCTGGGAATAATCCTGGGAATAACCTGGGAACGCCCCTGCGGCCGGGTTCCGTGGAAATGTTGGGAAAACGGGAAAATCCTCCCTCCCCAGAGGGCAGGGATGGGGACAGGGATTGGGATTGGGAACAGGGATGGGGTCAGGGATGGGGACAGGGATGGGGACAGGGATGGGGACATCACTTTCCAGGCCTGGCACAAGATTCAAAACCACCTCGGCCACCAAGAGAGACGGCAGAGCCGGGATTCCCTCGGCTGGACAATCGCGTTCCAGAGGGTGGCACCGGGGGGTGCTGTCCCCTCGGGGGAAGCACCGGGTGACAGAGCTGGGGACCGGCCCCGAGTCCCCACGGGGTGTCCGAGGCTCCAGGACCCGCTCAGGGTTTGGTTTTCCCTCCTTTTCCAAGGAAAATCAGCTTTTCCCTCAGAGCATCAGCCCAGACCCAGCAGAAGCTCCTGGATGAACCCACCTGGGATTCCTGATCCCAGGAATAATCCCGGGAACAGCGGGGTGTCCCCGGGCCGCGGTGGTGGCACGGAGGGCCGGTGTCACCTCCGGGGCTCCAAAATCCGCCCGTGGCTCATTTTTATCACCTTTTCCAAAGAAAATCAGCTTTTCCTCCTCTGTTAGGTGGGAGCTCAGCACATCAGCGCCGGGGGCTGCTGGTCCTGGGAATAATCCTGGGAATAATCCTGGGAATAACGGGGTGGCACCGACGGCAGCTGTGACACAGCACTGTCACCTCCGGGGCTCCAAAATCCGCCCGTGGCTCATTTTTACCACCTTTTCCAAAGAAAATCAGCTTTTCCTCCTCTTTCAGGGGGTAGAGACCAGTCCGGGATGAACCCGGGATCTGGGAATAATCCCGGGAATAATCCCGGGAACAATGCCGGGAACAGCGGCGTGTCCCCGGGCCGGGGTGGTGGCACAGATGGCTCTGGTGACACAGAGCTGTCACCTCCGGCTCCCCCGGAGAGGAAACGCGAGCTCGGCACTCCCCTCCCACGGCGTCTCCGAGCGGGGGCAGGAGCCTGGCAGAGGCTCCCGGGAGATGAAGCAGCAGGAAAAAAAAATAAAATGAAATTTAAAAAATAGGGAAAATCAAAATAAAAGTGGGTTTTTAATGTCTGGTTTTGGAGGGGAATAAATGGATCCTGCCCGGGGTTTTCTCAGGGTTTTTGTGGAGCTGGAGGAGCGTCCCGGGGTGGATTCTTTGCTGATTGATTGATTGATAGATTTGATTGATTGGTTAATTAATGAGGGTGGAGCTGGAGTTTTGGGGGATGAGGGATTCATCCCCAGGGAAAGGGATCGGGGGCCTCGAGCTGCTGACGGAGCCAAATCTTCAGGGGTTTGGGGCTCTCCAGCTGGGATCCCGAAATCCCCAGGAGTTTGGGGTCTCTGGGATGCTCGGGAATTCGGCACCTCCAGCACCACCAAATTCCTCGTGATGCAGCCCAAAAAGCCCCCCCAGAAATCCCAAGAGATGCTGGAAGAGTTCGATCCACGCCCGGGCAGCGATGGGATCGAGGAGGGGAGGATGTGAGGAGGAAATTCCTTGTGATGCACCCCAACAAGGCCTCCAAAAAACCCCAAAGCCACCCCAAAAAACCCAAAACCATCCCAAAAAGGCCTCCAAAAAACCCAAAACCACCCCAAAAAGCCCTCCAGAAAACCCCCCAGGAAAGGCCAAAAAAAGTGCAAAGCCCCGAAGCCACCCCCAAAAAAGCTCAAAAAAGGTCCCAGAACCCTTCCAGAAGGCCACATCCCCCCAAAAACCTCCCAAGAAGGCAAAAAACCACCCAAAAAAGGTTCCAAATAACCAAAAAAGCCCCTTAGAAAGAGAACAAACCCCTCAAAAAACAAACCTCTCAAAACCCCTGAGAAAGGCCCCCAACCCCCCCCAAAAGGGCCCTAAAACGGCCCCAAAATACCCTTCAAAAAGCCAAAAATACCCCCGCAAAAAAAAACCTCCAAAAAGACAAAAACCAAAAAAACCCTAAAAAAAGAGTCCGGAGCCGTTGTTTTTGCACTACTCTCAGTGTTTATTCTGCGCTGCCTCAGCCGGGACCGGACCTGGCCCATAACCAGAACCGGGACCAGAAACGGAACTGGGACCAGAACCAGAACTGGAACTGGGACCAGAACTGGAACTGGGACCAGGATCAGAACCAGAACCAGGCCCAGAACCGGGCCTAAACCCAGGCCCAGGCCCAGCCCCGGCCCCGCCCGGGAACGGCTTTTTTTTATTTTTTATCGGCCCAGAACCAGAACTGGGACCAGAAACGGAACCGGGACCAGAACCAGAACCGGGACCAGAAACGGAACTGGGACCAGAACCAGAACTGGGATCAGAACCGGGCCTAAAACCAGAACCAGAACCGGGCCCAGAACGAGAACTGGGACCAGGATCAGAACCAGAACCAGGCCCAGAACCGGGCCTAAACCCAGGCCCAGGCCCAGCCCCGGCCCCAGCCGGGAACGGCTTTTTTTAATTTTTTATTAAACTTTTCATATTTTTAACTTGTTTTTTCTTGAATTTTCTCTGATTTGGTTCCACCTCTGGGCATTGCCGCCCCCGCCCCAAGGAAAAAGGAAAAGGCGGCGCCGGGAGGGCCCGGGCGGGCTGGCCGGGGGGTTTGGGGTTTTCGGGCCCTTTGGGGTTTTTGGGCCCTTTGGGGTTTTCGGGCCCTTTGGGGTTTGTCGTTCTGCGTCGGGCAGAGCACTGAAGGCACATTCACGTCTGATACCCTGTACTGGGGCAGCACGGAGGGACAAAGGGAGTGCCACGGGAAGGGGAGGAGGAAAAATGGGGGAAATAAAAAAAAATAAAAGAAAAATGGAGAAATGGGGTGGGGAAAAAAAAAAAGTTAAAAGGGTTGGGGGAAATGGGAAAAAGTAGAAGGGGAAAGGAAAAAAAATGAAGAAAAATTGAGAAAAATGAAGAACATTGAAAAAAAGGAAATAGTTGGAAGGGTCGGGGGAAATGGGAAAAAGTTGAAGGGGAAAGGAAAAAAATGAAGAAAAATTGAGAAAAATGAAGAACATTGAAAAAAAGGAAATAAATTAAAGGAAAAAAATTAGAATTAATGGGAAAAAAAAAAGACAGGGATAAAAAGAAAAATGGGGGAAAAAAAAGAAAAATGGAAAAAATAAAAGGAAAAATCAAACTAAAAAATGAAAAGAAACTGTCCAAGAACCGAGGAGCAAATCCTGCCCAGTTTTCCTGCTCCCCCTCCCAGGAGCTTCCCCGACACCTCCACAGAGCTGCAAACAAGTGAAAATTCCAAATCTCCAAACCCTGAACCACCTAAGAAAAAAAAAATCTTGTTTTTTTTATTATTTTTCCCCCCTTTTTTCCTTTTTCCAGAGGAAAAATTTCGCTCCCAACACGGTGAGAAATTCGGGAAGCGGCAAAGAAAAAATTCCTGGTGGATTACTGGGAAAAACCCCCAAAATCCATTAGAAAAATCCCATTTTTTCCTGGGTTTCCCTCTGGAAAAGAGCCAAGAGTATCCCAAAAAAAAAAAAAAAAGGAAAATATTGGGGAATGTTTGACACCATTTTATTCATCTTCAACTGCAGTGGAAAAATAGAAACCTTTTACAAGCGCCGGCGTTGTCAGCTCAACTCAAGTTATATATTTATATATTTTATATAAATTTCTTTTTTTTTCCTTTTTTTTCCTGTTTTTTATTTTTATCTTGTGTTTTTCCAAGTGCAGCAAGAGACCAAAATCCACATCGAGCCTGATCCGAATCGAGCCCCGAAAAAGCAAAAAAAAAATCCCAAATAATTCCAAATAAAAACTTTTAATCCCATTTTTTGTGTTTTTCTTCACATCCAATTTCCTCTCCAAGCATCACCTCAATTTTAATTTTTTTTCCTTCTTTTTGTGCATATTTTTATTTATTTCATTTTTTTTCCACCTCTTTTTGAACTCTTTGGCACAATTTTGATTCTGCTACAGTCCGAGTCAGGAGATCTCTGTTCCCAATTTGCAGCACTTTTTAAAAAAAAAAAAAAAATCTCATTTTGAAATTTTTTTTCCTGACATTTTTGATTTTTTTTTTTTTTTAATTTTTGAAGCCTGAAACTCGCTGGACAAATGGATTTTTCTATTCCCTGCAACCCAAAAATTGTGTTTTTTCCCCCATTTCTACATTCACAGTTGAATATTTAAGGAAGGAAAGGCGCTTTTGTTGCTGAGCAGGACAAGCCAAGAGCTCCAAACATTCAGCATTCCCTAAAAATAAAATCCCTAAAAAAAGCGACTTTCCTTAAATTTCTTTTTTTTTCCCCTCTTTTCTACTTTTTTCCCCATCTCTTACTGCCTGAACCTCAGTTATGAAATGCAACAGCTGAACCCTTAAATTCTGTATACTTTAGATTTTTTTTGTCTTTTTTTGTCTTTTTTTTTCCCGGAATATTTTTTGTGGGTTTGGGAAAAAAAAAAAAAAGAAACTGCAAAAAATTTTTTTTTTTTTTTTTTTCCCGGAAAATTTTTTGGGTTTTGGGAAAAAAAAAAGAGAGAAACTGCAATGAATTCTTTTTTTTTTTTTTTTTGGGAAGTTGAGAATGTGGATATGACCTCACTCACACACACTCACTCCTCTTGGAATTCCTTCTCTCTCCTTTGGGATTTGCCTCATCCCGGAGATTCCCAAATCCCTGGGAAAATCCCAAATCCCTGGGAGATTCCCAAATCCCTGGGAAAATCCCAGTTTTCCACCTCTCTCTCTCTCCAGCAGCCAAAACCTCACAGAGCACCACTTTCATCCCAATTTTCCCCGTTTTTCCCTCGTTTTCTCCTCCGAGCTCAGCCGCTCTTGGGCTGGTGGGAATTTTGCTTTTTTCCCCCTTTTTTTTGGAACTTTTGGGGCACAGAATTCCCTCCTGGATGCCGGGGGTCACCAAAGGTTGGGATTTTTGTTCCGAGCCTCACTCACTCATCCTCAGCATCCTCTCATTCCCAAACATTCCGCACACGTCCTCACTCCCGGGGTTTTGGGGGGTTTTGTAGGAGATTGGAGATTTTTCCTTTTTTTTCTTGGTGTTGTTGTTGGTTTTTTATCCAGTGGGGGTCCTCAGGTGTCGTCCCAATGGTAACAGATCTGGAAAAGGGGGAAAAAAGGGATTTAGGGGAAAAAAATGGGATTTGGAATGGGGAAAAGGGATTTGGGGAATTCAGAGGGGGAAAAGGAATTGAGGGAAAAATGGGGGGAAAAGGGAGGAAAGGGGATTCAGAGAAAAAAGGGAATTCAGAGAAAAAAGGGAATTCAGGAGGAAAAAGGGAATTCAGGAAATTAAGGGGGAAAAAAGGGAAATCAAGAGGAATAAAGGGAATGAAAGGGAAGAAGGGCATTAAAGGGAATTCAGAGAATCAAGATGAAAAAATTGAATTCAGGGGGCAAAAAAATGGGAGAAAAGGGAATTTAGGGGGAAAAAGGGAATTCAGGGGATTAAAGCCCTGGAATTGGTTAAAAATGTGGGGAGGTGGCTCCTGGGTTGGGCTCCATCCTGGAGATTTTTCCAAAATTAACAATTCCAGGATTACAACAAAAAAAACCACCCAAACCTAAACACCTCAAATCAGGAGAAAAAAAAAGTGGGGGGAAATAATTGGGTTGGATTCAATCTTGGAGACTTTTCACTTTAAAATTGAGAAAAAAATCAACTTTGTAGGATGGAAAGAGAAGTAAAAACCCCCAAATGGGGCTTTTTCCCACCAAAACCCAGGAAACAACCCCGTGGGAGACACAGCTTTGGGACTGTGACTCTTCCCAGGCTAAGCTGAGCCAATTCCAGGGTTTTTTAGGGGGAAAACGGGGATGAGGCCTCACCAAGCTTGGTTCTTGAGCTTCCTCAGCTCTTTCGTGGCCCAGGTGGCGAGGGTTTTCGTTTTGTTCGTCTTGGACCTCCTCCCTTCCGTTAGCAGTTCGTGGATCATGGGTCTGGCTTCTACTAATTTCAGAACATCCTTCCCAAAAGCTGTACACAAATCCCTGGAAGCAAAAAAAAGTTGGGGAAAAAAAACACGTGAGTGGTACAAAATGCTGGTCAGGGGGGCTGATTTTGGGAAAACTGGGATTAAATAAAGCTCCAGCTCTTGTCCAAAGGGTGATTTCTCCATAATTCTCCTTAAATCCGCAAGAGAAATGAAAACACCTCCACCTGGGTTTCTCTGTTCCCTAAGGATAAGGTTTTATGGGTTCTGAACTCCTGGAAAAATCCTACACCTGGGATTTTTGTGACAGCTTTCCCACCTAGTCCCTTATCTGTGGAATCACTTCACACCTTGAGCAGAACACCAAACTCCAACCCAAAACTGACCCCAAAAACTTCAGCCAGGCAGGAAAAAAGGGCAGATTCCAGGATTTCAACCTGGCTTCCTCTGTTCCCTAAGGATGAGGGGGTTTTTGGGGGGTTTTAACTCCTGGAAAAATCCTAAACCTGGGGTTTTTCTGACGATTCTCTCCCCTGTGAAATCCCCTCATACCTGGAGCCAAACACCAAACTCCAACCCCAAAACTGACCCTAAAATCCTCAGCCAGGCAGGAAAAAGGGGCAGACTCCAGGATTTCCTGGGAGAAGAGGGGCGGGGAGGCCTCACCCTATGAGGCCGGCGGCGCAGGCCACCACCCCGTCCGTGTGATCCTCGTCCCCCGCGATGTGGTCGATGTAGGACAGGATAAACTCCACCCTGGGCTGCACCAGCATCACGTCAGCTGCAGGGAAAGGCCTGGTCAGGGCTCTGGGAATGCTCCCAAAAACCAGCCCGGGTCCCACCTGCACCCTCCCTCTGCGAGGGGAATGATCCCGGATTGTTTGGGGTTTTTGTTGTTGCCTGCCCTGAGGGTTTCTTGGGGCAGGGATGTGAGAAAACCAAAAGGAGGCTCCTGGATCCCTGGAAATGTCCCAGGAATGTGGGGATGTGGCACTGGGAATGAAGGGGGGGAAAGGGGATTCAGGGGAAAAAAGGGAATTCAGGGGATTAAGGGGGAAAAAAGGAATTGAGGGAATTAACAGGAGAAAAGGGAATTCAGGGGATTAAGGGGAAAAGAGGGAATTCAGGGGGAAAAAGGGAATTCATGGGGAAAAGGGATTCAGGGGAGTAAGGGCAAAAAAGGAGATGTGGTTTGGAGGTGACACTGGCTGGTTCTAAAGGAAGGGAAGGAGCAGGGATGTGACAAGGATGTGACAAGCCCAAAAGGAGGCCCGGGGAGGTCTGTACGGGATGTTTGGGAACAGCCAGGATTCCAGCTGCAGGGGCTGCCTTTCAGGATGGTTCCCAGGGTGGATGCCCAGGGATGCCACTCACGGTGCACGTTCTCCTGGTCTCCCTTGAGGCCCTGGATGATGCCAGTGTAGGCCTCCAGGCAGCCCTCCCGCAGCTCGTTCAGGTAATCCACCATGTCGTAGTCGGACTGGGGACAGACACACGGACAGAATGAGCCCTCAGCTCCAGCTCTCATGTCTTCCAGATCCCAGAGGCCTGAGAGTGTGACTCTGAACTTCATATAGTGTTAGCAAGTTCTCCTCAGTCACACAAAATAATCATTTTCCAGCCCAAGAACCAAGGACACCGCTGCAGCTTCAGGCCCAGAAAGTATAAACAACAAAAATGCCCAGAAAGTGTGAACAACAGCAAACTGAGGGGAACAATCTGCAAAAGCTGCAGCTGGAATTGGACAATTAACCCCAAGATGGAAATGGACCAAAACTTATAAAACTCTGAGTCCATCCTGGGTGTAACCTTAGCCAGGCCCTTGTACTGCCCAAGGCGTGTCCTTGAAGCCTTTTAATAAACCCCTACTTTATTCCTTGAACTCTGTCCAGCCTCTTTAGGCACCAAGGGGAGACCCTGGGAATGTCCCCTGGACTGGGGACAGCTCACCTTGTCCACCTGGGCCTGGGATGCCTGCTGGAGGGTGTTGAGCACCACGTCCAGGTACTTCTTGAACTCGCCCCCGATGGCCAGGGCGATGTCCCCGAACACCGAGAGGATCTGCGGCTTCACCGACCTGTGCACGTTCTCATTCTGGGGAAAACATACCCCAAAAAGGTCCTGATCAGTGTGGGAAGGGGGAAAGGAAAGGAGGGAATGGCCTCAGGCTGCACCAGGGGTTTGTGTGGGGCGTTTCGGAATGTTTCTCCAGGGGAAGGGGTGTAAAATGTTGGAGCGAGTACAGCCAGGGGTTGGAAAATGCCTGGAAATGTCCCAGGAATGTGGGAGAGGGAGGAAGGAAAAGGGAGGGAGGAATTCAGAAGGAAGAAAGGAATTCAGAATTCGGAAGGAATTCAACAGGAAGGGAGGGAGGAATTTGGAAGGAAGGAAGGGATTTGGAAGGAATCCAGGCAGGAAGGAATGAATTCAGGAAGGAATAAATTCAAGAACTCAGGGAGATTCAGAAGGAATTCAGGGAGAGAGAGTGGGAGAGAGGAAGGAATTCGGGAGGAATTCAGGAATTTATTTAGGAATCCAGCGAGCTGATAAATGAGACTTCCCCAGAACCCAAAGCCCTTGCCCCCAGCACCTCCTGGCCGCCGCTCAAACCACGCCGAACACGAGACATTCCCGGAGAATTCCTCCCACTTTTCCCAGGCTTCTCCCACCTCCCACTCCCCTGGGAAGAGTGAGCATCCAACTGTTACTCGGGAATCTCCCACTCACCCCCAGGTTCTCCAGGAGCAGCTGCATCACCTCGTCGCAGAAGGGGAGGATGTTGGACTGCAGGGCTCGGCACAGGTCCCCCACCAGCCCCACTGCTGACAGGCAGACCTGCAACGGAGCAGGGATCAGCTCTGGGATCAGCCCTGGGATCTGGGATCAGCTCTGGGATCTGGGATCAGCTCTGGGATCTGGGATCAGCCCTGGGATCAGCCCTGGGGAGCTGGGATCAGCTCTGGGATCTGGGATCAGCCCTGGGATCTGGGATCAGCTCTGGGATCTGGGATCAGCTCTGGGATCTGGGATCAGCCCTGGGATTTGGGATCAGCCCTGGGGAGCTGGGATCAGCTCTGGGGAGCTGGGATCAGCTCTGGGATCTGGGATCAGCCCTGGGGAGCAGGGATCAGCTCTGGGGAGCTGGGATCAGCTCTGGGATCTGGGATCAGCCCCGGGGAGCTGGGATCGTCCCCCGGGAATCTGGGTCCAGAGGGATGGGAGGGTGATTAAATCCCCAGCACATCCAGGAGTGGCAGGGATTTGGGTTGGAAAAACATCCCTAAAAATCAAATTCAAAGGGGAAATCCCAGCCAGGATTTGGGCAGGAAAAACAACTCCAAAATTCCCATGGAGGCCATCAGGATTGATATTCCAAGGGTAAATCCCAGCCAGGATCTGATACTCCAAGGGGAAATCCCAGCCAGGATCTGGGTTGGGGAAAAAACCTCCACATTTCCCTGGAGGGCACCAGGATTTGACATTCCAGGGGGAATTTGCTGCCTTATCCATAATTTTCCTTGGAAGTAACTAAGAAAATGTAAGAAACCAAAGTTCCACCCTCCAAGGTGGTTTGGATTTGAGAATCCTGGGGTTGTTTGGGTTGGAAGTGACCCCACTGGATGGGCAGGGACAACATTCACTATCCCAAAACTCATCCAACCTGGCCCTGGAAAATTCCAGGAATGGGGCAGCCACAATTTCCCTGGAAAAGGGAGAAATTGGATCCACACCTGGTACTCAGCGTAGTTTTTCAGCCCAATCCCAAGGAAAGGTTTGAAGGCATCCATGTACTTCAGGAATTCTCCACCCAGGACTGTGCAGGGAGAACATTCCAGTGAGAAGGAAAATCCCAATTTGTGGCATTTGCCGTAAACAAGAAATCAGATATCCCTCAAATTCCACCCAAACCCAGTGAAAACCAACTCTCCACTCGACAACTGAGAGCCGTGAAGTTACCCAGGCCCTCCTGGACTGGACAAATTCCCAAATTCTTATTGCAAGTAATAAGAAAATACAGCAGACCACAATTCCATGTTTCAAGGTGGTTTAGATTTTGGAATCCCAGGATTTCCTGGGATAAAAAGAACCTTAAAGTGACACCTTCCAATACCCCAAGTTGCCCCAAGCCCTGTCCAACCTGGCCTTGGACACTTCAGCCATGTGAACACCCCCAGCTCTCCTTCACTGCCTTATCCACATTTTTCCTTGGAAATAGTAAGAAAATACAAGAAACTAAAATTCCATGCTCTAAGGTGGTTTGGATTTCAGAATCCCAGGATTTCTTGGGTTGAAGGGGACCTCAAAGTGCCACCTTCCATTATGCCATGTTGCTCCAGCCTCAGACACTTCCACGGACGGAGCACCCCCACCTTCCCTGCCCCACAAATTACATTTCTCACCACTTTGCCCAAAATTCCCAGATCCAACCCCATCCCTGACCTTCCACCAGGGTGCTGACGGCCATCAGGGCGTCCTCCTGCACCCCCCCGGAGCCGGCCGTGCTCTGGAACATTCTGAGCAGCGACGCCATCACCACGTCCGAGATCTGCAGCGCATCCTGGTGCTGCACCTTCCGCAGCACGTTCTGAGGGAAAAATTGTGGAAAACGGGCAAAAATCACCACGCATCCTACAGGGAAAGCACTGCCACAGCCCTGGGTCTGCTCCTTCTGAGGGAAAAATCACGGGAAATGGGCAAAAATCCCCATTCATCCCACAGGCAGAGCGTTCCCACAGCCCTGGGTGCTGCACCTTCCGCAGCACATTCTGAGGGAAAAATCGTGGAAAACAGGCAAAAATCACTGCTTATCCTACAGATAAAGCATTCCCACAGCCCTGAGAGCTTTGACAAGGATGAAAGAGCTGCTGTTTGAACCCTTTTGCTGCCAAAAAAATCTGCTTTTGTGGCTGCAGAGTCCCGCTCATTTGGCTGCATTCAGATTTTCCAGCTGAATTTCCCTTTCCTGCTGCATGGGCTGTTCTCAAAGCTTTGCCATTTGTAAGCTGGAATTAAATGTGACCAGCCCAAGTTTAGCCTATTAAAAAAACCATAATAATGAAATTCTTTTTTTTTTTCTTTCGCAGCTGAGCATGTAGGGGTTGAACCTGAGTTTGGCTTCTGAATTAAAGTTTAGAAATGCTGGAAGTAATTAAAATACAACAGTTTCCAGGAAAATAAAAATATTTAATTTCCAGAAGAAAGATTTAGCCTATTAAAAAAAACATAATAATGAAATTATTTTTTTTTTCTTTCGCAGCTGAGCATGTAGGGGTTGAACCTGAGTTTGGCTTCTGAATTAAAGTTTAGAAATGCTGGAAGTAATTAAAATACAACAGTTTCCAGGAAAATAAAAATATTTAATTTCCAGAAGAAGAGTAATTATTTTAAAGTTTCATTTTTCACTCCACAAAGATGGACTTTGGCTGTTTATATAATTAAGACTCGATTTATGGAATTATAGGACGGTTTGGGTGGGAAGGGAGCTTAAAAATCCCCAAATTCCATGGACAGGAACACATCCCACTAAACCAAGTTGTTCCTTCCAGGGATGGGACTTTGTCACTTAATTTTCAATATTAATAAATGCTTTTTATTCTGCTGGATGTTCGTAATTGCATTTCCAGCAAAACAAAAAAAAAATTGGGAAAAAACCCCATATATTTTATTTTTTAATACTGAAAAAAGCCCCACTGCTAAGTTTCACTTAGTGGTTTTTAAGCATTTGCTGCAACTGGGTAAAAAATTCAGGTTCCGGTTCTGGTTTAGAAAATAAAATTGGCATCCTAGTTCCACCTGGATTACACTCCCCAGGCAGAGATCAGTGCCCATCCTGTGAGATTCCAGGGTGAAAATTCTCCATTAAATTAAAACTCTTTCTAAGATTATTCAAATTTCCCATTATTTTCAGAAATTATGCTAAAACTGGAGAGTGAAAACAACCACAAAGCTTCTGAGGATGAAATTAAGGATTTCTCAAATCAACCTGGAGACTACCTGGGTTGCTCTGAGCTGATTTTTGGGGGAAAAAAATCCCTTTTTTGAGTGGTGTTTACAACAGTAAACACTGCACTGGTGGCTCCTGCTCATCAGCAGATGTTTAATTGGGAATTCTGAGGACACTCAGAACATTTTAATTGCTGCCATTTGGATCAGGAGCACCCAGCACGAGAGGCAGATGAGGGAATCAAAGCCTTGAGGGAATTTTTTTTTGTTTTCTGTGGGACTGTTGAGGCTGTAGCCAATCCAAGAACCAATCTGACAGCACAGACAATCTTTTACAAAATCCCCAACAGCATTCTTTGAGTCATACTGCCCTGAATTTTGTCACTAGAGCACAACTTCGAGACTTCTGAACCTTGCATCACCTCCCACGTGTCAGCTGGGACCCAAAATCCACTTTTCTTTATTCAATTATCAGCACCAGGAGCTGAGGTTGCAGCTTCAGGGGCACAAAAACACCCCAAAAATCACTTTATTCCCACAACAAACCCAGGAGAGAGAATTTACCTGGAGAGTAGCACAGAGAAGGGACTGGAGGTCGTTGAACTGGATTCTGTCGGAGGTGCTCTGGATGTGAGACTGAAACAAGAACAAAATCCCACATGTGAAGAGGCTGCCTGGGATCCTGGCAGCTCCAGGGAGAGCCAGGTTGTACTTTAAATATTTGTTCTTTTCAGATTTCAGAGCACAGGGGCTGTGAAGAAGCTGAATATAGAATCCCTGAGTGGTTTGGGACCTTAAATCCCAAATGGGCAGGGACACCTCCCACTATCCCTGGATTTGGACACTCCCAGGGATCGAGTTTTAAATTTAAATTTTTAATTTTAAATCAGGATTTACCCACCTCCATCTGCAGCACTTGCTGCAGCCTCTCCATGATGACCAGGGTGGTTTTTTGGACAGCAGGATAACAGTCCTTGGCACTGTTTTTCACTATTTCCATCAGGGATTCATAGGCAGAACTCCTCAAGTTATTCTGGTGTCCATCAGGTCTGCAACAGAAGGAGGAAGATTTGCAGCTCTGAGTGCTTGGAAACAGATTTTTTTTTAATTTTAGTAAACCAGCAACAGCTCCATTTGAGTGCTGTGACAAGCAGGAGCCACTTGAAAAGCCTTGAAATAAAGAGAATTTGTGAAGCCGCTTCTGGCAGTTTTCTTTTTAACAATTTTCAGTTTTTAAAATGATTTTCAGTAGCTCTCACAACAAGGAGAGGGACAGAAGGAGGCTCAGAATTTGTGTCAGGTGAGCAGCACTTCAGAGCCCCTCCCCAGACACCCCTGAGGGTGTGAAATTTGGAATTAAGGCACCTGGGATGATTGATGGGCTCCCGAGCCGTGAGCCAGACACTCCACTCCTGGCTGGATGGATGAAGACAGGAAAGGAGTTTAAATTTTGATCTGGGAGAAGGTTTTTAAGGAGAATCAGCAGCAAAAACAGCTCCATCAGTCCATGGAGCTGATCCAGGAACTGAACCTGGAGCTGTCAGATTTATGTGACCTCCGAGCCACCACAAAACTTGGATTTTAGCCTTTTTCCCTGCATTTGAGAGAGGGAAAAATAAAATATTTGGGACTGTTCTGGGAGCACCTGGAGCTGACGGAAGAGATGGAAGCCACACAAAAACCATCAGAAAGGAACAAACAGGGATCCCTGATTATGTCCTGCTGCAATTCCTGATTATCCAGGGCCCTGCAGCCAACGGGGCTGAGTCTTGTGACTGCACAAAAAAGGCAGAGTCTTAAAAATGTGGAGTTAAACTTGGAGATTTGAGGGAAAATGGGGGAGATGTGAGGGGAAAACGTGAGAGAAATGTGAGGGGAAATAGGGGAGATGTGAAGGGAAAATGTGAGGGGAAAACAGGAGGGAAAATGGGCAAGGTGTGAGGGGAAAATGTGAGGAGAAAATGGGGGAAATGTGACAGGAAAATGGGGGAAATTCAAAAGACAAGGGGGAAGGGACACTCCTGGACTTCCTAAAACCAGATATGGACAAAATTATGAGAAAATGTTCAGTGGGAAGAGCTGTTTTTCTGGGATTTGCATCCTCTAGGGTTTTTTTTAATACCAAATAAAGCCATGTTTTAATCCAACACCAAATCTCTGCTGCCAGGAAGAGCCCAAAAGCGTGGAGTGGTAAATAAATGAGAAAAGGCTTTTTGGAGAGGTTTTACCTGTCTGCAGTCTCCAGCAGTTTCTGCACTATCAGCTCAAAGGAGGAGGATAAGCAGTAGGTTGCTGGTTCTTCCTGATCATCAGCCACATCTGCAGCTTCATAGGCAGCTTCAGCAAGGCTGGAGAAGGCCTGGAACACAAAATATTAAAATATCCATTGGTTTTCCACCCTCACATCTCCAGAAATTCAGATTCCATCAGTTTTTGTTCCAATAAGAAAAAAAAACCAAAAACCAAAAACCAAACAAACAAACAAAAAAAAACCAGCCAAACCCCAAACCAAAAATAACAACCGAAAAACCCAAAAAAACCCCCAATAATATATATCAACCAATATAAATACAGAAAATTTTGGAATAAACACTATAAATATATAAATTGATCTAGATCTATACATTTAAATTTCATTTATATATTTTAATTTATATTTAATAAGACCCCCAACAGGAGGGTGGAGCCAGGTGGGAGCCAGGCCTGCTTGAGGATAAATGGAAGAGATTTGAAGGAAAATGGGGGAGAACCATGAGGGGGAAATGGGGGAGACTCATGAGGGGAAAATGGGGGAGATCCATGAGGGGGAAACGGGGGAGATCCATGAGGGGAAAATGTGAGGGGAAACGGGTGAGATCCGTGAGGGGAAAATGGGGGAAATAGGTGAGATCCGTGAGGGGAAAATGGGGGAAACGTGACGGGAAATGGGTGAGATTCATGAGGGGAAAACATGGGAGACTTGGTTGGACCCAACAACCTCAAGGGATGTCCAGGCTGGGTATTAAGGAAAATCCCCTCATGGAAAAAGTCCCAGGCATCTGAACAAGCTGCCAGGAGCAGGGCTGAACTCCCGAGCCCTGAACCGCCCAGCGAATTCACGGATGAGCACAGAGGAGCCGGCACAACTCAGAGCTGCTGCCGGCGGAACGCTCGGCCTCGGTGACACCACAGCCCCCAGATCCCACCGGGAGCTGCTTTCCCCAGTGGAGCTGCACTCCCGCGGGCTCGGGGGGCTCCTCACCCAGCAGACGTTGGTGGCCACCCTGTGGAGTTAAACTTGGAGATTTGAGGGAAAATGGGGGAGATGTGAGGGGAAAACGTGAGAGAAATGTGAGGGGAAATAGGGGAGATGTGAAGGGAAAATGTGAGGGGAAAACAGGAGGGAAAATGGGCAAGGTGTGAGGGGAAAATGTGAGGAGAAAATGGGGGAAATGTGACAGGAAAATGGGGGAAATTCAAAAGACAAGGGGGAAGGGACACTCCTGGACTTCCTAAAACCAGATATGGACAAAATTATGAGAAAATGTTCAGTGGGAAGAGCTGTTTTTCTGGGATTTGCATCCTCTAGGGTTTTTTTTAATACCAAATAAAGCCATGTTTTAATCCAACACCAAATCTCTGCTGCCAGGAAGAGCCCAAAAGCGTGGAGTGGTAAATAAATGAGAAAAGGCTTTTTGGAGAGGTTTTACCTGTCTGCAGTCTCCAGCAGTTTCTGCACTATCAGCTCAAAGGAGGAGGATAAGCAGTAGGTTGCTGGTTCTTCCTGATCATCAGCCACATCTGCAGCTTCATAGGCAGCTTCAGCAAGGCTGGAGAAGGCCTGGAACACAAAATATTAAAATATCCATTGGTTTTCCACCCTCACATCTCCAGAAATTCAGATTCCATCAGTTTTTGTTCCAATAAGAAAAAAAAACCAAAAACCAAAAACCAAACAAACAAACAAAAAAAAACCAGCCAAACCCCAAACCAAAAATAACAACCGAAAAACCCAAAAAAACCCCCAATAATATATATCAACCAATATAAATACAGAAAATTTTGGAATAAACACTATAAATATATAAATTGATCTAGATCTATACATTTAAATTTCATTTATATATTTTAATTTATATTTAATAAGACCCCCAACAGGAGGGTGGAGCCAGGTGGGAGCCAGGCCTGCTTGAGGATAAATGGAAGAGATTTGAAGGAAAATGGGGGAGAACCATGAGGGGGAAATGGGGGAGACTCATGAGGGGAAAATGGGGGAGATCCATGAGGGGGAAACGGGGGAGATCCATGAGGGGAAAATGTGAGGGGAAACGGGTGAGATCCGTGAGGGGAAAATGGGGGAAATAGGTGAGATCCGTGAGGGGAAAATGGGGGAAACGTGACGGGAAATGGGTGAGATTCATGAGGGGAAAACATGGGAGACTTGGTTGGACCCAACAACCTCAAGGGATGTCCAGGCTGGGTATTAAGGAAAATCCCCTCATGGAAAAAGTCCCAGGCATCTGAACAAGCTGCCAGGAGCAGGGCTGAACTCCCGAGCCCTGAACCGCCCAGCGAATTCACGGATGAGCACAGAGGAGCCGGCACAACTCAGAGCTGCTGCCGGCGGAACGCTCGGCCTCGGTGACACCACAGCCCCCAGATCCCACCGGGAGCTGCTTTCCCCAGTGGAGCTGCACTCCCGCGGGCTCGGGGGGCTCCTCACCCAGCAGACGTTGGTGGCCACCCTGGGCTCGGCGCTCAGCCCCTCCATCAGGCACTGCAGCAGCGGGGCCAGGTAGATGTCATTGATGGCGGCCTCGGGCAGCATCTCGCAGATCCTGCCCACGGTCCAGGCTGTCGTGTCCCTGACCACCACGCTGGGGTCCTTCATCAGCTCTATCAACGTTGGCATGGCCTGGGAGGAGCCAGGAGAAACCAGGTGAGGAAAAGAATCCTGTGTTTGTCCCAGTCCTGAGGTTTATTTAGGATGTATTTTGTTTTATTTCGTATTAATGGTTCTGTTCCCTAATGTAACCCCTCTTCCAAACACCTTCACCAAGGATGGTTTTACTCAGCATGCCTAAAGTAAAGGCAGCTTCTGCATTCAGTAAATACTGTGTTTTTCACTCCTTCCAATGTATTTCTCCCCCAATTCTTTCCTACCACAGTCCCAAAGCAGATTTGAGGTAACATAATATGGGCGCCAGGTTATGGATCAAATACAGGATTTGGATTTGAGATGTTCTCCTCCAATTAACCCCAGGATTTTGGGCTCTAAAAGCCTCCAAAACAGGTGACATTCTTCTGATTTCTTTTTAAGTAAGAGCATACAGAAATCAGACATTCTCCTCCAAATAACCACGTGATTTTTAGCTCTGGAAGCCCCTAAACAATGGATTTTTACCTCCAAAACCAGATTACACCCTCCTGATTTTCCTTAAACAAAACCCTCACTCAAACCAAACACCCTCCCCTGAGAAACCACGAGACTCTGAGCTGCAAGCCCTGCCAAGAACGGACCTGTATGACTAAAGGTTTGAGCTGGTTGGGCTCCGGCCCCTCCAGGATGCAGCCGAAGGCCATGACGGCCGCGTCGCGGTACCTCCAGTCGGGGTTCTTGATGTGCTCCTTGATGAAGGGCAGCACGTGGGGGACGATGTCGTCCTCGCAGCACGTGGCCAGCAGCATCAGGCACACCCCTGCTGCCTTGCAGGGGTTCCAGTCGTCGTCGTCGTCATTCTCGTCCTGCAAAAACCATCCCCGGGTGATGCCTGAAATTCTGACTTTGATTTTTCTCATGTTCTGTGCTGCTCTGGTGTGTGGGTCTGAGATTCGTACTCAGGGCTGGTAAGATCTCTTCATAGAGGAGGGAGATAAACATTCCTTTTACAGCTTGGGACCAAGGACAATCACAAGTTACAAGAGCACATTCTGTCAGGAATAGAGGGAGCCACCAAACCCCTCTGGGAACCACAAGTTTTTAACAGGGAGTAAATGAAGCCAGGCCTAAAAACCCCTGGGACCAGAGCCCACATGAGGCAGGGGCTGTGGAATATTTGGGTCAAAATCCCCAATATTCCAAACAGGAATACAGGGAATCACCAAACCCCTCTGGAAACCACAAATCCTGGGATGTGATGCGGGAAAAAGGAGGCAAGTCCCAGTCTCAGCCCAAAAACTGCTGCATCACTGGCTCAGAGTGGTGCATGAAAGCTCATCACAGACCAGGGACCACCACCTCCTGAGGCATTTTTGGGATCCAGAAGGGATCAGAGGAATCCAAAAGGCCATTCCCAAAGGAGCCAGGGGGCAGGAAGAGCTCCTGAGCTGCAATTCCCTCAGGGAATGTGGCACTCACCTGTTTTGTTAAGGTCTGCGTTAGAATAGGGACCAAATATTGCAGTGCCCCCTTGGCATAGAACTTGCTGGTGTGCTCTGGGGGCCGTCCTTGTTCTGCTGCCTGGAGAGAAGAAAAGGAGGTGAAAAGTTTATTTTCATCAATATTTTTATCTGTTTCTATAGAATTTTTTTTCAGCATTAAGAGGCTGAATGATCAACTCCAGGAGACACAAATTCCCTTTCCCCCATGCTCCTCCCCAACAGGAACTCTGAGTTACCTCAAGGGCACTTTGCACCGAGTTAAATATTCCAAAACCCACTTTAAATATTCCAAAATCCACATTAATTCCTCATCCCTCCTCACAGGGCACAATTATCCCCATTTTCACTTGGCTGTCAGGTGTAATTACCAAGTGACCCCGAGGTGAAGGAGCAAAAGGTTTGGAGCAAATAAACCCCACCCCACTGCTGCTGCCTGTCCTTTTCTCCTTGATTTTTTTATTTTTTGGGGATGCAAGCATAAATATAGATTTAGCTGCTTTTAAAAAATGGATGTGATTCATGCAGAGCCCTTCAAAGTTTCAGCTGTTATTGATCTCCACAGATAATTTCTGCAAACAGCATCTGCATGCAGAACAAATTCCCCAAATTCCTCTCCAGCCCCAGCCATTCCACAGGATAATTACTTTTATTTCATCTAGGATTCTAGGTTTGACTCACAAATCATGGATTTTTATGGAATGTGAACCATCTTTTGGAAGAAAAACCCCATCATGGCCAGGGCAGACCCCAAAATCTTGGACATTATTTCATTAATCCCATGGATTACTTCCAGAAAAAAAACCATGGGAGAGCCCTGTGATAGGAGCTGCATGTGGATTTGGGTGGAAATAGGGAGTAAGAAAGGTAAAATTGGGTTATCTGAACAAAAGCCACCAGGCTGGAGAGGGCTGGGATCCAGCTGGGATGGTGGAGGTGGCCCTGCCCATGGCTGGGAATGGATGGGATTTAAGGTCCTTCCAACCCATGGGAATAGATGGGATTTAAGGTCCTTCCAACCCAAAGCATCCCAGGATTTTGGGATTAACAGCAATTCCAAATGCAGAGCCAGCTAAAAATCCCCAATTTACCAGGGGGAGCAGAACCTGGGCCAGCACCAAGTGAGGAGCCAAAACCTCCTCCCAAAGGAGGAGCTCCAAACTCCCAAATGAAGAATTAAAAGCTCCCAAAAGGAGGAGCCAAAATCTCTCCCAGGACTTTTCACTTGGTGCTGTGAGCCCAAAACCAGCCGGGCATTTCCCCATTTCCCTGGAAGGGCAGGAGGAGCTCCTGGGGTGTCCAAAGCCAGGAACTGCAGCATTCCCAAGGATGGCCAAAGCCAGGAAGTGCCAGGGTGGCCAAAGCCAGGAACTGCAGCATTCCAGGGTGCCCAAAGCCAGGAACTAAAGCATTCCCAGGATGCCCCAAGCCAGGAATGGCATTGCCAGGGTGCCCCAAGGCAGGAGTGGCATTGCCAGGGTGCCCAGGCAGGAGTGGCATTGTCAGGGTGCCCAAAGCCAGGAGTGGCATTGCCAGGGTGCCCAAAGCCAGGAATGGCATTGCCAGGGTGCCCCAAGGCAGGAACTGCCCCATTCCAGGGTGCCCCAAGCCAGGAATGGCATTGCCAGGGTGCCCAGGCAGGCATTGCCCCGTTCCCAGGTGCCCCAAGGCAGGAATGGCAGAATTCAGGGGTGCCCAAGGCAGGAATTGCCCTGTTCCCAGGTGCCCAGGCAGGCACTGCCCCGTTCCCAGGTGCCCAAGGCAGGAGTGGCAGCATTCCAGGGCAGCTGAGGAGCTGCTGCCTGGCCAGCCCACCTCGGAGGCCTCGATGGCCAGGTCCATCTCCTCGTCGCACACGTTGGACCAGAACTCGATGCCCTGCAGCGCCACCTCGTCGATGTCGCTCTTCATGGCCTCGATCGTGATCTGCCAGCACAGGGGGAGAGGTGGGCACTGACCCAGCCCACCCCGGCTCTGGGGGCACGGGCTGGGGGGCAGCACAGGGGGTGCCATTCGATTGAAATATTCCATTAACTCAAGGTAGCGGGGTGCAATTTGATTTAAATATTCCATTAACTCAAGTTATCGGGGTGCAATTTAATTTAAATATTCAATTAACTCAAGTTATTGGGGTGCAATTTCATTTAAATATTCAATTAACTCAAGTTATCAGGGTGCCATTCAATTTAAATATTCAATTAACTCAAGTTATCAGGGTGCCATTCAATTTAAATATTCCATTTAACTCAAGTTATCGGGGTGCAATTTAATTTAAATATTCAATTAATCCAACTTATCGGGCTTCAATTTAATTTAAATATTCAATTAATTCAACTTATCGGGGTTCAATTTAATTTAAATATTCAATTCATTCAAGTTATCGGGGCTCAATTTGATTTAAATATTCCATTTAATTCAAGTTATCGGGGTGCAATTTAATTTAAATATTCAATTAATTCAACTTATCGGGGTTCAATTTAATTTAAATATTCAATTCATTCAAGTTATCGGGGTTCAATTTAATTTAAACATTCCATTTAATCCAAGTTATCGGGGTTTCAAATCACAAATAATCCCATTTCCCCCCTATTTTATCACCTCAAACTGAGTTTTTTGTCTCATTTGGGATCTCGAGGATGGGTTTTTAGGGATTTTTTAGGGATTGGGATTACCAGGGGTACAGAGGAAAATCATGAATGGAAGTTTTTAGAGAGATGGCCTTCAGAGAAATAAAAATGGAAATTGAGGGAGATTTGGAAAATAAATATCAGAAATATCAATAGAAACACACAGAAATCAAAGAAATAAATATGAGAAATACAAATATAAGTAAGGGAAAATCAGAGAAATAAATACAAAAAATACAAATATAAATAAGGGAGAAGCAGAGAAATAAATATGAGAAATATAAATATAAACAAAGGAAAATCATAGAAATAAATGTGAGAAATACAAATGCAAATAGAGAGAGAGCAGAGAAATAAATATGAGAAAGACAAATGGGGGAAACCACAGAAATATAAACATAAATAGAGGAAAATCAGGAAAATAAATATGAATATAAACACAGGGAGATCAGCCAAAAAAAGTGCGAAACAAATTCAAATGGGGAGAAATCAGAGAAATAACCCTGAGAAATAAAAGTACAAATGGGGGCAAATACAAGAGGAGGAAAATCTGATAAATAATCATCACTATAAATAGAGGGAAATAAATTTCAATAAAAACATAGGGAGGAAAGCTAAAAATATGAGAAATATAAATACAACCAGGGGAAAATCAGAGGCATGAATGTGAGAATTAGAAAGAAATTTTATTTATTATAAATACATACGTTATTCTATATTAACCTATTTAATAAACTACTTACACATTATTAACATATAATATCAACATATAAATGTATAAATATTATGATATTATTATTTTAATATATACTTATTTGTTATCTATTAAATTATTATATATTAATAAACAAGTTACTTTATAAATAACCTTTAAATGACTTTATAAATGAACATAAAGCACTCACAGCAAAGAGGGCAGGCCCCATGTAGGTCTCCATGTATTGATAATAAAGGGACATTATCTTCACCAGGTTCTGTAAGGCAGCCACTCGTACCTGGGGCACACAAAATGCCCAATTTCACACAGGTCTCTTGTTTTTCACGTATTTTTGGCAGGCAGAGATGCCCCAGGAGGGGAATTTGGAATTTACTCACCCTTGTGTCTGGACACTGTGTGGCTTCACAGACTACTTGCATAATAAAGTGCCTTTCAGACTGAGAAAACGAGAAATAAAAGGACATTAAAAGGAGTTTAAAGAAGAATTTAAGCCTTCAAAGGCTTCCCAGGGAGGGTGAATTTAGTCTGGACCAGCACAGGCACAGGGCACCACTCCCTGCTCTATTTTAAACCATTTTTTCCCAAAAATGGGAATATTTTTCCCCAAAGTGGGAGTATTTTTCCCCAAAAATAAAGTGAGATTTTTTTCCCCAAAATTGAATAGTTTTTTTTCCCCAAAATGGGAATCCAAAACTTCCATTTCAAAATAAAGACACGGCAGAACTTCAGAATTCAAATCCTGCTGGTCCCTGAATTATTTCAGCAATTTCTTAAAACAAAGGAGGGAAGAAAAAAAAAGGGAAAAAAGGGAAAAAAGGGAAAAAAGGGAAAAAAGGGAAAAAAGGGAATACAAGGCCCCAGCTGCCCTCCCTGATCCAAGTCTCAGTCTCCACAGGATTTATCCATCAAAACTCAGCGTGGTGCATGAATCCTCATCACTGACCTGGACCAGCAGCTGCCCTGCACTCCCACCCCACATTTGGGGCTTTTGGGGGTTTTTTGGGGCTTTTTGGGGCTTTTCTCACCTCTTTGTCGAAGTTTGCTTTGGTGAATTCCAAAGAGTTCAGGAGTGCGTTGGTGGCTGCAAGCTTCACATTGTTGCTGGGCTCCTCCTTTCTCATTCCCTGGATTATGGCAGTCAGGATTTCATTGGATTTGTCCTGGAGCTGCTCTGGATCCTGAAAAAATGTATTCCAAAAATCTGGGTAAAGTTATTTATGATATAAATAGATTTTTAAATTTTATTTGTGATTTAAATGGATTCTTAAATTTTATTTATGATTTCAGTAATTCCAGGGATTTGTCACAACCAAATTTCCTCTTTTATTTTGCTCTTCTCCTCAGTGGAACCAATCCCTTGAAAACAAAATGCAGACAAAAGCCACAAACTCAGCCTGCATCTCTGCACTTCCTGCAGGGAATAAAATCCCAAAAAAGCAGCTCCCATTTTTCAGTGGCAGGTCCGACTTTCCCAAGAAATTCACAGCAAATTTTGCAAATTCCTGGTAAATGCAACAGACATTTTATGGAAGTTGCCTCAAAAAGCAAAATATCCCCTCAAAAAGCAAAATATTCCCACATAAAGGGGAATGTTCCCTCAAAAACTGAAATATTCCCACATAAAGGGGAATGTTCCCTCAAAAAGTGAAATATTCCCACATAAAGGGGAATGCTCCCTGAAAAAGCAGATTTCCTGGCCCAGCCCCAGGAGGGCTGCCCTGGGCAGAGGGAATTCGGGATTCTCCGGAGCAGGGAGGATCCAGGGCTGCTCCCTGCTGTCCCTGGGATGTGGAGCTGAGCTGAGGTTTTCCCTCCGAGTTCCCTTCAGGAATGGTGACCTGGATTTGGGGTGGGAAAGGAGGTCAGGCCTTCCAGGAACCTGCCTGGAGCTGCCAGCAGGGGGAAAAGTCTCCTGGAACCAGGGAATCCCTCCAGAGCTGGAAAAACCTCCTGGAATCAGGGAATCCCTCCAGAGCTGCAAAAATCTCCTGGAATCAGGGAATCCCTCCAGAGCTGCAAAAATCTCCTGGAAATCAGGAATTCCTCCAGAGCTGCAAAAATCTCCTGGAAATCAGGAATCCCTCAAGGCTGGGAAAGCTCTCCAGGAGCATCAAAGTTTCCTGGGAATCCTGAAGGTCAGGAAAGCCTCCAGGATCATAAAGTTCTCCTGGAAGTCAGGGAATCCCCTCCAGGGTCATAAAAGTCTCCAGGAAATCAGGATTTCCTTAAGGTTGGGAAAGCCCAGGACCATAAAAGTCTCCTGGGAACCCTTCAAAAACAAAAAATCCAACTTAAAAGCCCCAATCCAAAATCCAGCCAAAAAAGTCCAACCTAAAGAACGCAATCCTAAACCCAACCCACCAAATCCAAAAAACTTCAACCCAAGAACCAACCCAAGCCAAAATGCAACACAAAGAATCCAAACCAAAATGCAAAAAACTCCAAACCAAAGAATCCAAAAAACTCCAACCCAAAACCCAACCCAACGAACCCAAAATCCAACCCAATCAACTCAAGAAACTCCAGGCCAAAGTCCAACCCAACAAACCCAGCAAACCCAACCCAACCCAACTCAAACCCAGCACAGTCTCCAACCCGTCCGATGTCGTGCTGCAGACCCGCACCCCGGAACCCTTCCAACCCAAAGAATCTGAAGAACCCCAACCCAACAAATCCAACCCAAAATCCAACAAAACCAACCCAACAAACCCAACCCAACCCCGGCATGGTCCCATGCCATGCTGCAGACCCGCACCCGGAACCCTTCCAACCCAAAACCCAACCCAAAGAACCCAGCAAACCCAACCCAGCAAACCCAACCCAAAGAACCCAACCCAAAGAACCCAACCCAGCAAACCCAACCCAGCAAACCCAACAAACCCAACCCAACCCCGGCACGGTCTCTGACCCATCCCATCCCATGCTGCAGACCCGCACCCCGGAACCCTTCCAACCCAAAGAATCCGAAGAACCCAGCAAACCCAACAAACCCAACCCCGCAAAGCCAACCCCGGCACAGCCTCCGACCCATCCCATCGCACACCCAGCCCCATCCGCGCCCGCGGCGCCGCACTCACGATGTCCTGGCAGATGTAGCCGATGGCCTCGAGCGTGGACTCCTTCATGTGCTCGGTGCTGTGCTGGTTGGTGACGTTGGCCACCAGCTGCGGGATGAGCTCGGGCCACTGGTTCATGGGGATCTCGGCGCAGGCGATGCCGGCCACGCACTGCGACGCCGAGCTGGGCCGGTACGTCTCGGTGCCCAGCGTCTGCAGCACCTGCGCGGCCACAGCGCCTCAGCACGGGCCCCCGAGCCCCCCGAGCCCCAGAGCTCCCACGGGCTCTCTGCAAGAGCCGGGCTGGGATTTCTCGGGCTCCCGTGGCAAAGGGATACGGCAGAAGTTGGACAAATCGGGGTTCAATTCACCCCAAAAAGCAAACTTTTACGTGCCAAAAGCATCCGGGGGATTTTGTTGGGTATTGGGATTGATCAGGAAGATTTTTGGTGGTGGACTTTGGGAACTTTTCTTTTAAAAAACGGGAGGGAATGGGATAGATTTTTTCAGCTTTTCCTTTTACACACTAACAAAATTTTCTTTAAAAAATGCAGAGAACGGTTTGCACTTTTCCAACATTTTCAGTTATATGCCAATAATTTTCTCTAAAAAATGGAGGAACATGGGATGAAATTTTTTTCAGTATTCCCAGTTATACACCAGTAACTTTTTAAAAAAACAATAGACAGTGAAATGCTTGTTTTGATAACTTCCACTTGAACACCAATAATATTTTCTGTAAGAAATAGAGGAAGGGATTTGCATTTTTCCAACATTTTTGGTTACACACTAATAAAATTTCTTTAAAAAACAAAGAGATGAGGATTAATTTTTATCAGCAGTTCCAGTCCCACACCTTCATTTTGCAGGTTTCCACCCAAATGCTGTTTTTTGGTGTTGAAAACAGCAGCAAACTGCTCAATTGCAGTGCACAGGGACAGCTGCTGACCCCATAACATTGCATGGAAATAAAGGATCAAAGGAGCCCCATCACCTCACCCAAATCTGCCCCCCGATCCCTGCAGGGCCCAGGGGCTGCGCTGGCCTTGGAGCACCCTGGGAGAAGGAAAGGTGGGCATGGATGGAATTTAAGGTTCTCCCAAGCCAAACCATTCTGGGATTATTGACAGGGATTCTATTAACACACAAAAAATAAACATAAAGCTCAGGGCCCAGCTGGATCAGTCACTGAGCACTGCACAAAGCCCAGCACCACTTTTTGCTCCCATCAGCCAAAAAACCAAGTAACATTCCATGGAAATCAAGGATCAAAGGTGCCCCATCACCTCACCCAAAGGTGCCCCCCGATCCCTGCAGGGCCCAGGGGCTGCGCTGGCCTTGGAGCACCCTGGGAGAAGGAAAGGTGGGCATGGATGGAATTTAAGGTTCTCCCAAGCCAAACCATTCTGGGATTATTGACAGAGATTCTATTAACACACAAAAAATAAACATAAAGCTCAGGGCCCAGCTGGATCAGTCACTGAGCACTGCACAAAGCCCAGCACCACTTTTTGCTCCCATCAGCCAAAAAACCAACAACAAATCACTGAGCCACCACTTCTGTCCCTGCAGGCTCTGAACTCCAACTGGCACAGGGCAAAATGCACCCTCAGGAAAACACATCATTTTTTATTAATTTTCTATCTGGAATTTGTACTTTTTTCCCATTTTCCAATTTTAAAACTTCCTGGGCCTCATGTGAACGTTGTTCAGACTCATTTCCAAGGTATGGATGGGGACTGGAGAGCTCCTGGGGAAGCTCTTCCTCAGAAAGGGAAGAAAAATCTTCCTCAAAAAGCATTGGATCAACTCCCCAAAATGAGGATCAATCCCCCAAAAAACCACCTGAGTGCACACAAAACCCCCTGGCACTGGTGCCACTTCCTTTGCTAAAACCTTTCATTTTTAAACCTTGTCTTCTTTCAAACCTTTTAAACATTTATTCACATTTCAGAAGCTTCCTGCAGTCAAGTCTCAGCAGAGAAGTTTTATTTTTTCCTGAGTATTTTTCCTCAAAAGCTTTTTTCCTGCTCAGAAAAGCCTTCCTAGAAAAGTGGGAGCAGATGCATTGCTTTCCAAACCTTTTTACACCAATTAAAAATGTGATTTTCCTAAAAATCTTCTACTTTTTTACAATAAACCCATTCCTAAAATCTCTTAAGAAATCTTAAAACACATCTTAAAAAAACCCCAAAAAATTTAAACAATCCTAAATTACAAAGACTTTGGGGCACCAAAATCTCATTTTAAAACTAACCAAACACTCAAAAGTTGAACAAACTCCAGTGCCTCGGACTCCAGGTTTTCAATGCCCCAGTCCAGCTCTTGAGATAAAATTGACTTTAGCTGGTCCATCCCAAACTCTTCAAAATTCAAACTGAAGAATTTGGGGTCAAAAAATGGGGGAAAACTCAAGGGATGGGTGTGAGGCATTAGAAATATTCTAAATGCAATGCAATAGAACAAACCCTACAGACAGGGCCCACTAATCCACTTCAAGCTGAATTGAAAACTCTGATTTTACTGTGAGTGAGGAGCCAGCCAGAATTAGCTCACAGGACAACCCAGAAGTGTTGCTGCCACCTTGGACAAGAAAACTCCTGAAATTCACGGGTGGAGAAGCATCTTTGGATTTCCCACCCATAAATTAGCAAGAAAATTTGTCTTTTCATGAGTTTTTAGGGTCAATTCAGCTAAAAAAAATGAGCAGCATCACAAGAAACCTCCCAGATTTGAGAGTGAAGCCAAGGCAGATGTGCCTGAGCTGGCTCCCACCTGCAGGGTGAACAGCTGAGGTAAAAAGGGATGAATTAGCCAAAAGGGGATGAATTAGCCAAAAGGGGATGAATCAGGGGTGCAGAGGAGGAGGAGGGAGGCGAGGAAGAGCAGGAGGCTCCAGCAGAGAACTGGGAGATGCTCCCAAACCCCTGGGGCTCTCCTGGGAAAGGCTCTGCCCAGCCAGTGGTGGGGACAGGCCTCGATTCCACATCCTCATCCTCATCCTCCTGCTTCATCCCCACCCTCATCCTCCTCCAGGACTCAGCCCGGACCATTCCACCTCCCCACCCACACAAATCCCTGGTGCCAGCCCAGGCTCTGCTCTCACCCAGCCCTGCCTCTCACAAAGCAAAGGAAAAATGAAAGCTTGGAGTGATCCCAGGGGGCAGAGAGGAAAAAAGAAACCGTGGAGAATCCACATTCCCCCAGCTCCTCCCAGCACCTGGAAATCAGGACCACGAGCAGCTCCTGCCCATCACCCCAAAACCCCTCAGCCACAGAGCCCTGCAGCCCCAGGCTCACTGGGGGCTCCTCAGAACCCCAGCACCACCCCAGAGGATTTTCCCCCAGAGCTGAGGCTCAGCACAAAGGCTGCTCCAGTGCTGACTGCGAGGGGAGCTCACCCTGCCCCAAGAGACCCCCACAGCCCCTCCCTGCCCCAAGAGACCCCCACAGCCCCTCGCTGCCCCTCCCAGGCACAGCAGGCCAGGGCAGGCAGGGCTGTGGGGTGACAGCGGGGCTGTGACAGGGACAGCACCGGGACACCGGGAGCCAGCACCCCAGGGCCCCCCACGCCTGAGGGAGCAGCCAGAGCTGCAGCCCCACACCTTGACTAAGCAAAATCCCTTCCCGCCCAGCAGCAGCCTCAGCTCCCCGCCGCAGCACGGCCGCTGCAGCCGGGCCGCTGGGCTTGTGGTTCCCCCTGGATCCCCGCTGCAGCCGGGCCGCTGGGCTTGTGGTTCCCCCTTTCTCTGCTTTTTCAGACTTCTCTTCTTCCTCAAATGTGAGGTCAGCGCGGCGTCCCCCTGCCCAGCAGAAGCTCCCTCCCCCGGCAGAGGCCCCTGAGCCCCTCCCAGACTCCCGAAGCCCTGCTCCCGCCCGGCCGGGGGTCCGGGGGATGCGGCGTGCCGGTGCACCGGCAGCAGGACCGGCCAGGGTCCCGAGGGCACTGCAACGGGGCAGCAGGGCTGGGCGGGGGGCCCAGGGCAGCAAGAACGGGCACTAGAAGCGGGCAGCAGGGCTGGGCGGGGACCCCGCGGACAGAAGGCTGGAACGGTCAGCGGGGGTGCACGTCCCCCTGCCCAGCAGAAGCTCCCTCCCCCGGCAGAGGCCCCTGAGCCCCTCCCAGACTCCCGAAGCCCCGCTCCCGCCCGGCCGGGGGTCCGGGGGATGCGGTGTGCCGGTGCACCGGCAGCAGGACCGGCCAGGGTCCCGAGGGCACTGCAACGGGGCAGCAGGGCTGGGCGGGGGGCCCAGGGCAGCAGGAGCGGGCACTAGAAGCGGGCAGCAGGGCTGGGCAGGGACCCCGCGGACAGCAGGCTGGGACGGGGCCCGTAGGAGCGGCCGCTGGAACGGGCCGGGGGTCCCGCGGCCGCCCGCTAGGAGCGGGCAGCCGGAGCGGGCGGGGGTGCGGCGGGCGCTGGCAGCGAGCAGGGGAGTGGGGCGACCACTTTGGGCCGCGGGGGGGGGCGGCACCGGGAGCACCGGGAGCACCGGGCCCGGCAGCCCGAGAGCCGGAGAGCCGGGCACCGGCACTGCCGCTGGTGCCGGCGGGCCCGCGCGGCTCCGCCCGCGGCACCGGAACCGGCTTGGGAGGAGCCACGTGCTCCGCGCGCCGCGGGAAGCGGAGCCGGCGCCGCTGTCCCGGGGCCGGGGGTGTGACCGGGGGTGTCCGTTTGTCCGGCTGTGCCCGTGTGTGTCCGTGTGCAGAGTCGCTCCGGGACCGGCATCCCGCAAGACCCGGGGTGTCCCGGTGCCGGTGCCCGGGCGGGGATGGACGCGCTCCGGTGCCCCCGAGCGCCCTCCCGGGGCCCCTCCGCGCCGCTGTGTCCCCAAGCCGCGGTGACCCCGGGCACAGCCGCGGGAGCGGGGAGGAAAGCGGGGATAGCGGGAGCGCTGCGGAGCGGCGGGGCAATTAACGGGCAATTAGCGACACACAGGCCGCGGGCACGAGCGCAGCCACCGGGACACGGCCCTCGCTGCCGGGGATCCCGGGATCCCGGGAAAGGGACCCGGGAACGGAGCCCGGGGGGGAGAGGGCGGCAGGGGCAGGGATCGGCCTTGGAAGGGAGAGGTGGGCACGGGGGCAGCTCCCGGGGGTGGCCGCGATCCCAAAGCTGCCCGAGCTCCGGGAGTTTGGGGTTGGATTTGTTGGGTTGGTTTCCCCAGAGGGTGCTGGGGCACTGGCACAGCTCCCCATGGAGTGGTTGTGATCCCAAAGCCCTGAGAGCTGCAG